GCTGATGATGTTCTGTCCAATTAGCTGTCAGCACACTTCTTCCCTTTACCTTCACTGCCGCCGTGGCCTTCCTTTTTCTACGGAGACTCCACACCATTAGCTGCTTCAGTCAGAGCTAAACAAAAAGCTGTTCTCCAAAGCCCACTGCTAGGCAACGGAGACCCGCTGAACTAGATCTCCGGCGGAAAATACTTCTGAAATACAGATGAGAACAATTATTGCAAATTCACAATAAATTATTAATTTGGTTGAGGATAATACCTTGTAAAAAAATTTCAGGAAGAGTTGAGAATTGAAATGTGAAAATGGCAAATCTCAAACTTTTGAGCACTGACATGATGTTTGTTCCAGACCCTGGACCATTTTGGATTTCGAAGTTTCTGACTGAGTGTGCTCCGTTAGTAAAGTCTGTGCAAACACCCCCAAATGCAAGCAGCCCCAAACTCGGGATCACCTTTGGTCCTAAGCATTTCCGAGAAGGGACACCCAACCTACAGAGGTGAAACTTAGGTTGACCTATCAGAATTCAGCTCTCATTTCTTTAGAAGCCAGGCTCTCCCGGAGTGAAACCTGGCCTCAAACTTGTTTGCAGCTGAGGGTGATCCTCCTGCCTCCTCTGCCTTCTGAGGACTGTAGGTAGGCCTGTTTTCTTGTAGTGCTAGGGAATGAAATTGGGGCTTCACACATGCTAGGCAAGCAGTCCACTCACTGTGCTGTCTGGGCCCCTTCCTGCTGAATTTAAGTGAGTCTCTTCTGGTCTATGTGGATGGGTGACAAGGAAGACACCACCCGTGGGCACGATGAGTTAGTTACTCGTCCAATTCGCGTGCTTGAGTGCGCATGCTTGAGCAGTTCACCTCCACTGAGTGTGCCGGGCAGCGAGTGTTCTGTGCGTTCACACACACACTGTGAAAGTCCTTTGCTGGTGTTTGCTTTGAGAAACGGTGAGTGAAGCCAGCTCTCACTGTGAAGTCAGACTCATTTATCATCATCCATCCGGGCGGGGCTAGCTTGGAGTTCAAGCTCTGTAGCTCCAACTGAACGGAAACACTTCATCCACATCCATCATGGGAGGAAAAGTTATGATTAGGGAGAAGGCTTTTAAAGGCTAACTGAATTCATGAGAAGGGTTCTTACAGCTTCTTAGAAAACAAACTGCTCTTAAAAAACAACTTTGATGAGTTAAGTGCAAAATGAATGAGAAACATATGGGTTCTATTTCCCTAAAGATGCACGAGAGTTTAAACACTACAGGGAATGTGTTTGCAAAGTGTGTCTGAGAAGTGTTACAAAATAGATTTCAAAATGCTTGAAAAATAGCCCGAGGTAGTGGGCGAACCTCAGATGGGGCGCAATAGTTCATCTACCCCTAACTGCGGTGAGAAGTGTGAGTGCTACAGCCCAAGATTTATGTTGTAGAAGAGCAGTCATACTGTGGTTAGCTATTTGTGTGAGAAATTATTGAAGTCGTGCTAACCGAAAGGGAAGCATTCAGTGCAAGACTGGGCTGTGGAGCAGGGCTTCGATGGCACCCCGGGGCTAAAGACAACGATGCACACAGCCAGGAGAAGGAGGCTGAGAAGCCGAGTGCGCAACTGCTGGAGAGCCACGCCGCCTCCATGACGCTCTAAATGCAGCTCCCTGAAACTCTCAGGACGCTTAGTGCACTTTATAAAGCCTTGCACGACAAAAACAAGAAACCTGCACCCGCACTCACTCGGACACAGCAAGTGGCCAAGCGGCCGCAACAGCCCGGGTGCATTTACATCTCATGACCCGGGAGCTCCTGCTTCCCCACCCCCATCACTAACATAAAAAGCAGCAGGATGTGCTATGACAGCCTTCTGGAAACGTCCTGGTGAAAGAGCCCTGCCGGTGACCTCAGAAAGCAGGGCAGGGCTGGCGGGTAGCTGCCAGAGCACTCCAGAGGCTAACCTGAGCGAGCCTGGGTTCCAGTGCTCCTGCAAGACAGCCATGTACCTGCAGCAGGTCGCCGCTCTCCAGCCGGCCTCCTCTTCTGCAGAAGGCCAAGTGGAAATCTGATGACAATCAACGTACATCAAATATCCTCGGCACTGCGGGTGTCACTTCAGTTCTTCAAGGTCAGGTCTTAAACTTCAAGGTCAACTGCTGTCCACCTGAAGGAATCAGCCGAGCATCCCCAATCCAAAATGCTCTGGCATCGGAATGCCAGACAAGATACGGGCAAGTGGAGCCCACCACACCCAGCCTTGTGACAGGGCACACCCAAAATAAAGGGACGGTAAGAGGACTGCAGGGCCTGAGGTCACCTTCAGACCTCATCTATAAAACAGGTACAAAACACAGAGTCTGGGGCTAGACTTTGGTCCCGGAACCAAGACACGCACAAATACCCTCAAGTCCTAAAACGGCCCGGCTCCTAAGCACTTCTGGCCCCCAGCGTACGGGGTAAGGGATACTCAAGCTGCGGACCTAACAAACATTTTGCTCTCTGTCGAGCTGACTTGCTTTCCATCTTTAGCAGCATGCTTCACGCGGAGAACCGCAAGTGTGTTGGTTCCTAGATCAGAAAATCATTAAAATCTCTGGCCAGCTCTTCACCGCAGAGAGAGGTTTGGACCACCACTGGCTCCTGATTTCAGCTCCGGGCGGTGGTGAGCCACTCACACATACATGGAAGGCAGTATTGGGAGGGGTAAGATTGAGGGGGAGACCGTAAAGAGGACAAGTCACGGCCCCCTTTCCCACCTGTTTGGGGTCGGTGGGAGCAAGGGCTGTGACGAGTGAGAGCTGGAACCAGCCAGCTGAGACAGGGATCCCCGTTCCTCTGTCTGTTCATTGGAAAGGAAGTAGAGGACGTAGAGGTCGAGACAGCCAGGCAACGCTCACAGCTTTCTCAGCTTCTCGATCAACTCCTGGTCGCCTGGGAAAACCCACAGCCATGAACGCTGCTCTGCCCCATGCCATCTCCCGACTCCAGGCTGCACTGGCCCTCAGCCCTGGGCAGAGGAGCAAGGACTGGCGGGGTGCAGTGTGACAACCCGGCCCTCCCTGGCCTCTTCTAGGGTGGTACCACTTACCTAGCTCTTCCCAGCTTACACTTCAGAAGGACAAAACTTCCCTTGTGGTCACAGGAAGTAAAAAAACAGCCACAGAGCTGTTTCCAGGGACCTTCCAAGCTGCCACTGAGACCCGGTGTGTGGCAATGTAGCCATGTGCAGACCCCGGCTTCACACTTGGTCTACCCAGAGCACTTCTGGGAAGCAAGTGTCTTAGCTTCTCTCCTGTGGCGAGGATGAAAATACTCTGACAAAAGCCGCTTAAAGGAGAAAGTTTATTCCAGCTTACAGCTCAGGGGTAGAGCCCACCATGGTGGCGAGTTGGGGTGGCAGGGATGTCAAGCACCGGTCACCTTGTGGTACCCACAAGCAGAAAGCCAAGAGCAGCAGGATGCTGGTGCTCCATCTGATAACAGCCAGGATCCCAGCCTGGGACTGGGCCAGCCCACAGGGAAGAACATCTTCCCACACCAACCGACGTGACCAAGCCAGTGTCTCAGACGCTCACTCTCCGAGGCTAGCCTTAACGCTGTAATTCCTCCCAGACACTCCAGAAGCTTGTCCCCTAGGTGACTGCAGTCGGGATGGCGACGGCCACTAACCATCAGGCAGAATCACAGAGAACCCAGAGAACTGACACAGCCAGGTTCACACCCCACAACCTGACTCCTCCCATCCCCAGACAGCTTGCGTCATTTCCCATGATTCTCAGCAGAGGAAGAGAAGCCGTGAACATGACACAGGTCGGTAGGAATATTTGAAAAACAAATGCCATAGAAATGCTTGGAGCCCATAATTCTGTACCACAAAGAAAAGGATAAATTACATCTCTCACTTAGGAACCCAAAGCAACAGTGTGACATGGCTTGGCTCCAATTATATCTCATTAAAATTAGTGGGTGGGGCTGGAGAGATGGCTCAGCAGTTAAGAGCCCTGGCTGCTCTTCCAGGGGACCCAATTTTCAGTTCTCAGCACCCCACTGTGGCTCACAACCATCTCCAAATCCAGGGGATCCAATACCCTCTTCTGGCCTCTACAGGACTGTATACACATATATAAATGCAGGCAAAACTCTAACATAAAAAAATAGTCGTTTTAAAATTAATGAGCATATATAGAAAGATGCCCAGCATCAGTTGTTATTAAGAACAAGCAAATTAAACAGGTATTACACACTTACCAAAATGGTAAAATCCAAAAAAACCCACAACCACCAAATGCAGGTAAGGGTTTGGAGCAAGGGGAATACACATTCTCTGCTAGTGTAAGTACAAGATGGCCTTGGCCACACAGGAAGACAGTGTTGTAGTTCTTTATAAAACGATTCTTCCCATGCTCAGGGAAGAACTCACCACAAACTTACATAAAAACCTGTACATGAACACTATAAATATGCAAGCATGGTTTACAGCCATTTTATTCATAATCGCTGAAGTTAGAAGTCACTGAGACCTCTTTCGGCAGGAAGCATATAAACAGAGAAAAGTCAAATGTGTAACTGATGCATGGATGATGCACAGAGGTCTGAAAAGCTACGTATTCTGATCTAAATGGACTGAGATCTGGAAAGGGTAAACTACAGAGACCCAAGAGTCTGGCTGGAGGGTCTGGGAGGTGGTGGGAAAATGAACAGCAGGCGGCCCATGGGTTTTTGGGGCAGTGACATGATTGTCCATCAAACAGGTACGGTAGGTAGACACACTATGCTCTTGTCAAAATGCACACTACTACGCAGACTGACGCCCACTGCAAGCTCTGGACTTCCATACAAGAGCACTTGAACCACGGCAATGCCACACGCTAATGAAGGAGAGAGGATGGAGCCTGTGAGAACCATTTCTGCTCCCGGTCTCCTGAAAGTTCTCTAAAAATAAAGTCTGGGAATTCAAGAGTGGCTTTGAGAGTGTCATCAAATAAGACTCATGATCTGGAAAATTCACCATACAGAACATCCGTTATGCAATAGTATCACATAAATATTTATTGAAATAATTAATTGGAAAACCACACACATTACCACATCAACCTTAAAATTATTAGTACATTACACAGAAAACAAAAGACCAAGTTGCCAATATGTGATTTCATGAGGGAAGTCTGAGAAGGGTCATTGCCAGCTAGTGAGGGGTATGTTGTTCCTGTGGTCGCAAGGAGCACACGCCACTATATATCAAAATCCAGCCACGTGAAAAGCCACCAACAGTCAGCTGTAGAAATTTATTACGACATCACAACTTACATACACACACAACAAGGCTTGAGACCAGCGAACAGCCGTGTGAAAAGTGAGAGGGAACAACATCTAACAGATACAACTTAGAAACCTCTTCCTACTTAAATTAGTTTCAAATACTGGACGACAGACACTGGAACCGAATCCTAGCAGCAACCCCAAGCCACTCTGACTGCAGGGGTCCTGCTGCACACTGTGTCCACAGCGTGGCCACTGAGGGCAATGCTCCACAGCCACGCAGCCACACAGCCACGGGTTTTCCTAAAGTACTTAGTTCCCAGAGGGTGGACAGAGGAAACGCTAGGCTCCAAACTGTTTAACAGCATCACGTTGATTCGTATCTGCAGAACTCTGAGATGCCAGCAGAGGATGTGCTATGTGTGGATCTGCTCCACGGGGTGAAACACATTCAAGGAGGCGGGCCACGCAAGGGGAAGAGCAGCCTCACACTTCCCAGAGGGCCATTGGAGAATCTGGCTTTGCCAGAGGAGGAATGGCAAAATGTGTTTAAAAACAAAATTCAAGTTAAACTGGGTATGTGGCACACGCTTTTAACCCCAGCACGTGGGAGGCAGAGGCACGTGGATCTCTGTGAGTTCAAGGCCAGCCTGGTCAACATTGGAGTTCCAGGACAGCCAGGGCTACATGGCGAGACCCTGCCTCAAAATAAATAATAATAATAATAATAAAAAATTTTAAAATTCTAGTTTAAAAATTGAAAGTTAACAGGAGGAGGCCAGGCCAGCAGAGAAGATGGTGCCTGGAAACACAGACCTGCAGAAGCGGGGACTGGGGCCCTCGGCGCCCCTCCCCATGGTGATGCCTGCTCAGCTCACTGACGGCAGAGACAGCGTGCTTTTCGTCCACTCAGTCACAGCGGAAGTCCCTGCATCAACCCCCATTTGTGGTGCCAAACGAACCAATCCACACCACTAGTGATGAGCCAATATTCAGGTTTTAGCTTTTGTTTTTAGTTTTCTCAAGGTTTGAGAAAAGCAAAGCAAAAAAAGTTTTATAGCATCATCTTAATATGGTTTTATTAACAAGGCACCTGAAATGAGAAATATGACCAAAACTAAAGTTTTCAGAAGAAAAACAACTAGTAAAAAGTCAAAGAATTACTACTAAGTAAATATGTAAAAATATATTACCATACAGATTTAATTTTTAAATACTTAGTTCCCACATTAAGAAACAATATCAAAAGCAAATGATCCAAAAGTTAAATAAATACGAAAATCCTAAATTAAAAGTATAAATAAGTAAACATGTAGTAGTTAAAACAAAGTAAACAAACCACGAAAACAATTAGTGGCAATGAGAACTAAGCACTGGGGTTTAAGTCCATCCTATGTCTCCTTCCACTCTGTCCTGTTCGCTCCACGCTGACGGACTCTAAGAGCCACATCAACAGTATATGCATGACACATGTAAACTATTGTACGCTCAAAACACTAAAACAAAACAAAGGTACAAAAAAGGTGGACTATTCCTGATTCTTTCCTCACACTTGCAGTTAAATGACCTTTTCTTGGAAAAGGCCGAGTCTCCTAACATCCTGTCCCAAAGCACAGGGCAGACCGTACGTAGTGTGACCTATACTTAATGAGACAGCAGTGGACAGGACTACTGTGGAGAAAGAGACCGAAGAAGACAGCACCAGGGAGGCCCAAGCCAGCCCACTGTGCACAGGACCTGTCCGGCTCTTCTATCTCAACTGTCTATGCTCGGGCGGATTCGGGATCCGGCAGTGTCTCCAAGGAAGGAGACTCCTGAACTCAGACACCCAGGGAGCCCAGTGATTCCTGCACAGTCGGGGTGCACAGAAAGACAGAAGAGCAACAGCTAACACTATGAACCGGCCTTGCCTGGACCTTCCTGGCGGCTGCTGGCTTTCGAGCCCAGGCCCTGCCTCCCTTCTCCGGGGTCCTGGTCAAGTGGCTCCTGTGGAGGCCCCGGCAGGTGCCCTGCAGTGTCTGAGGATTTCTGATGACACGAGGCGGAACCCAGTGCGTCTGGGTCACTGCTGAAAGAGCTGTGACGTCACTGACTTCCGCAGCCATTTGTCTGGGACATTTCACCAATATTAATTTACTTTAAAAAAAATATGGAAGCAAAACATTTACAGCAAACGCATTACATGGGTACATCTTATCATAACTCCATGTAATTGTGGCATGGAAAAATAGAAATGGGTGCGTTAAAATCCATCTGTAATAGCTTTATACTGTTTAAAACTTCTCATTTTAAAAGCAGTCAAAAGGAGAGGGCAACCCTCCCTTTCTGTACGTTCTCTCCCCTGACACAGACGGCTGTGTCTCTCCATCATGAGCTAAACCCGTGCTTCAGCAGCAGAAACCAGGAGCGACTGCTGTCACTGAAGAAGGTGTCCAGTCAGAGCTTTGCCTGCTGCACAGCCTCCGCCGGCCCTCTGGTCCACACACAGTGACCACCCCACCCCCACCCCCGGGCACAGTGAGCCCACGAAGGGGCTATCTCTGGAGCTTCTGGGAAACAACCACATACAATACACACTGGTCACGGGCTGCAGTCCCAACCACTCCTGCTTCCAAAGGAGTTGGACCCAACCACCTCTACTGGGATGGCGCGTCTGTCTGCCAAACAAACCAATCCCTACTGGATCCCTACTGGATCCCTACTGGATCCCTACTGCATCCCTACTGCATCCCTACCGGATCCCTACCGCATCCCTACTGCATCCCTACTGCATCCCTACCGGATCCCTACTGGATCCCTACTGGATCCCTACCGCATCCCTACCAGATCCCTACCGCATCCCTACTGCATCCCCACTGGATCCCTACTGCATCCCCACTGCATCCCCACTGGATCCCTACTGCATCCCTACTGCATCCCTACTGCATCCCTACCGCATCCCTACTGCATCCCCACTGGATCCCCACTGGATCCCTACTGCATCCCCACTGGATCCCCACTGGATCCCTACTGCATCCCCACTGCATCCCTACTGCATCCCTACTGGCTGGGCAACATGTCTGCTGCAGCCAGGACAGTGGAGGAGAGACATCCGCAGGGCCTCTTCCAGATCCTTTCAGGGGTTTAAGACATGCAAAGCCTTTGCCATCCGCTGACAGACACATGAGAAAAGAGGGCCGGCCGTAGGAGCACACACCTGACTCGGCTAACGCAGCTGCTGCAACGCCCCACCGGCCCCAGGGCAGACGCACAACTGTCTGCACAATTCCATGAAGAATTCAGGGAAATTAGGTTTAGACAGAGATAAGTAATGCAACACCTGGAAAGTTCTACCGACTCAGTGCTGCATAGAAGGGTTTGTTTGTTTGTTTGTTTGTTTGTTTAAGTACAACGCTATGAGGTGGTGATGGTCTGCAAGAGAATCTGAGCGGGAATATTTATTTGTTTGTTGAGACAGGGCCGTGCTACGCTACACAGGCTGGTTTCAGGCGGTGTGTGCGGGTGCCTGGGGCCATGGGAGTCAGAGGCTGCGCCACACTGTCCTCACCCATTCATCAGGTGGAGGACATTTGTGTTTCCATCCCTAGGGATCCTCCTGCCTTAGCCTCCCACATCAGTTGTTCCTTTTAAATGTTTATAGATAATCTGGGGGTGGGGCCTGGAGTCCCAGCCACTCAGGAAACTGAAACAGGAAGATGGCCAGAGTCCAAAAGCTGAAGACCAGCTCAGGCAACCAAGTAAGACCCTTCCTCAAGATAAATAAGTAAAGGCAAGCTTGCTCATAAGTCTCTCATTCTAATTTTTCAAGAAATATTCCTATTACAATTAAATCATGTCTTTTGATTTGAAATTTTATATGTGTCTCAGAAGAAAGAAGGCAATTTATAGGAATCAGATGACTCTAGGAGTTTAAAGACTTGGGCTTACGTTACCTGAAAAGAACATAACACATTTATAGGTTTTAGTAAGGAAAAGAGGGCAAATATCTTAAGCAACATACTAAGCGTTTTTTAAAGTGCCTCTAAGATGTATATACTTTAATACAGTAGGCCTGAGAATCAAGATTTCAGGCTATATCACAGACACACTTTTTAAGTTGACTATGAAACATGAACTGCCTGGTGATCCAAACAGACAGGCATAATTAATTACAGAGAACCAACACGAGGGAGGCATGGGGCTTGTGATTAGATCCATGCATCTTCCTCTCTGAGATCTTCCTCCTATCTACTGCCATGTCTGATGAGCATGTCAGATGTCTAGTGTACTCCCATTGCATGCACAAGTTCTTAGAAGGAAAACTTCCTACTTTTTAAATGAGCATTCGCTGTTGGGATTCTGTTTTCCTAAACCAGCTGTGTGAGAACCTTCAGAGACTTTATTTGTGGGGTGGGGAGAGGGCTCAGCTGTTAAGAGTGCTGAGGACTCTTGAGGAGGACCTGGGTTCTGTTCCCAGCATCCTTCTGGTGACTCACAACTGCCTGTAACTGCAATTCGAGGGGAGCCAACGCCCTCTTCTAGCTTGCTCAGAAACCGTACATGTGGTGTGCAGACATGTCAGCAAAATACTTGTGTACGGAAGAAAAAATGTTTGTCTTCCATTAGCCTAGAGACTAGACTTGTTTTGAACTCAGAGTCCTTATCTTAAACACTACAGTCAAATTCAACAAAAAAGCACACACCAGTGTCAGAAGTGGGAAGGAAACAATCACTGTGCTGATTTGAGCGAAGGGCAGGGTGAAGACGTGCTGCTAACAAAGGAAGTATGAGAGGCACAGCAAACCCAGACTGTGTGCCGGGGAAAACCATAGATCACAGACTAGTCCTTGATCGACACGAGCCAGCAGCTAACGAAGAACTGGCAGAGCGAGGAGTGAGAACTCTAACTCCTGTTAGACTGACACTAAGTATTAAATTCTACAGATAGGAAATTCATTCTTTCCTTCAGAATTGACGACTATCGTTCTCAAAATGACAATTCACGAATTTGACAGAAACCAAGTTTTGCTGCAAAAAGTGTGTGTGTGTGTGTGTGTGTGTGTGTGTGTGTGTGTGTGTGTCCTTTATGGTCAGAGAGCAAAGAACTGGGGAAAACAGAGACAATGACAAGGGAGAGGAAGAAAATTTTGAGGACTCCCTGCGAGCCAGGCCCCGCCCCAGCCCCGCCCCCTGGCTGGCGTATTCTGGGAGAATGAGGTTTGCTAGCAGGAAGTCAGCAGCCTCCATAAGCGTCTCATTCCTCAACTGCATCTCTCTCTAGCTCTAGACAGTTTTGTTTTGCTTTGGCCTTTGAGTGAAATTTCCTCTGATTAAAAATTGCAGATTTTTTTTAAATTTAAGGAATTCCTTCACATTTATAGACAAGAACACCAGAAACGAGACAGCTGACAAATCACGCAGATCCAAACTCAACCATCCACTTCTCGTACTTCTCCAAGTCCGCAGCTGAGACCGACTTGGCAATTTTCTTCAGTGCCAGCTCAAAGTCCCCTCTGGTGACAGGCATCTGCAGCTCCTCCTTGGACAGGGCCCTGATCTCTTCTGGACTCAAGCCGCTGATGCGCCGCCTCATTGCCATCAAAGACGCATCCCTGGAATCAGGCAGAGCAGTCCTTAGCCACGGCAGCACGTGCTTTCAACACTTCCGGTTATTACAAAGTTACGGCAAACGTCCTAAGGGCTGTTTTATATGTGCGCTTATGATGCCACTCAGCAGGACACACTTGAGTCACATCCTGAAGTGTTAGAAAAGCTAAAACCAATGCAAGAGCTGGGGAGATGGCTTCGCTGGAACAGTGCTGGCTATGTGAGCGCGAGCACCATGAGTTCAATTCCCACCATCCCCTCAAAATGCTGGGAACATTGGTACATGCTTGTAATCCTAGTGCGAGCCTCACACCATTGAGACCCTGTCTCAAAAAACCAGGGAAGGTCAGGTGCAGTGGTGCACACATTTAGTCCCAGTAACCAGAAGGCAGAAGCAGGCAGACCTTTATGAGTTTGGGGCTAGCCTGGTCTACACAGACAGCTAGAAAAACACGGTGAGACACTATAAAAAAAAAACACCGGGCAGTGGTGAGCACATCTTTAACCCCAGCACTCAGGAGGCAGAGGCAGGGGGATCTCTGTGAGTTCGAGGCCAGCCTGGTCTACAGAGCGAGAGCCAGGGACAGGCACCAAAGCTACACAGAGAAACCCTGTCTTGAAAAACAAACAAACAAACAAAAAAAAAGTACTCATATACACCATACAAAGAAAACCAGGTGGCCAGCACCCAAGAAACTGCCAAGGCTGACCTCTGACCTCATGTGCGTGTATACACGTGTATACACGTGTACACACACACACACACACACACACACACACACACACACACACACACACACAGGCTAGGAAGACTTGAGAAGTAAGTTTACTTTATCACAGAAGCCTGGGACAAACTCAGCTAGCACTCAGTTTTCTTTGATTCTCTGTGCCTCAGAAAGAGGCAGGAAGTTAGGAAGAAGAAGTCAGATTTGGAATACAGAACTGCATACTTGGGATGAATATTTGGCTAATGTTAAAATAACTCAAGCTGTGTATTAGTGAGTTTGCAGCCCAAGCAGCGGGAGTAAAAGGCAGGGGCATGAGCATGTCCACAAACCAGCAAGAGTTCCTACATGGGATGCTTGTGGGGGGCCAGCAGTATAAACTCGGGCGTCTCCGGACCTCAGTCAGCCCCGTTCGCCCAACTATAAATAAACAGGAAAGTTGAGAAGAAATGGCTGGGTTCTCCTCAAGACCTACTTGGAAGGACAAGCCAGTCACACCTTCAGGTGTGTGGTGTTTTACCAGAGACCGTGAAAACTATGGCAAAAATTATGGCCTTTGGACTCAGACACACCGAGAAAACTAGACGCCAAAGCGTCAGAAGACGCTGCTGAGACCAACTACACAGATTTCTCCATCTCAGAACGGAAAAGTCTCCTTCTCTTGGGTGAAGTGTCTTAAAAATTATGAAGTCCTTAAAGGGAAAGGGAAAGAAATCACTTGTTTCTTCCACCGATGAAATGGATCGACATCATTCATCTGCGTGTGGTCGCGATTTGCCCAGCAAAGCTACACAATATTGCTTCCGTCAGTATGGCTGGGCTCCAGCCGGAAGGTGATTAGCCAGAGGTTGCTCAGCCATTATTGCCAAGTAAGACACAACGGTTCTTAGGACAATCAAAAATCTAAGTGAAGATGGGGATAGACCTCACTGGTAGAGCACAGGCCTAGCATGTGCAAGACCCTGTGTTGGATGCCCAGTACCGTAAGTGAGAGTCTGTAATTCTAGCACTGCTGAGACGGGAGGACCATGACCTCACAGTCTGGGCAACAGAGGACCTGGTACCCAGAGCAAAAATCATCATGTTATGGACTTGTCTGTCTGGCAGCCAATGCAGGTGTATGCTGAGGGAGAAACGTCTGCACAGTATTACGTGTATGTGTGTTTTCAGGGCTGACCATTTGGCACTGGATAACCAATTGGTGTGCTTCTCCACGGGGAAGACTCTTTCTCCTGCTCTCGGCATTCCTCAGGGGCCTTCCAGTTCCCTGTCTAGGGCTGAGGCCTGCTGACTTGGCCGCCTCCATATCAACACGCCTACTGTTGATCAGTTCATGTTTAACCAGTCATGGGTGGAAGAAAAGAGAAAGGAGAATGATGGAATTATATCATAGCCTCAAAAAACAAATAATTTTTTTGTAAAAGAAAGTAAAGCTAGTTGAAAAGAAGAAACACGTGCCCAGTGAGAAGTGGGTCGCTGCCTTCAGGTTTGGGGTCAATTCCACTGATTTTTAAGACTAGTTAGTCATCCTTGCCGGGCGGCGGTGGCACACATGCCTTTAATCCCAGCACTCGGGAGGCAGAGGCAGGCGGATCTCTGTGAGTTCGAGGCCAGCCTGGGCTACAGAGCGAAATCCAGGACAGGCACCGAAAACTACACGGAGAAACCGTGTCTTAAAAAACAAAAACAAAACAAACAAACAAAAGACTAGTCATCCTATAAAACTAACGTCTGGGTCCCGGGTCCCAAAGACACACCTGCAGACGTTAGTTATGTCGGCACCGGAATAGCCCTCAATCTTGTCCGCGATGTCCTCCAGGCGGATGTCAGGATCCAGCTCCACCTCCCGGAGGCTGATCTTCAGAAGCTCGGCTCTTCCTTTTGCTGCCGGAAGATGAAGCGCTTTGTGTAAGTTTACAGATCATTTTGCTGAGGAACCTATATGCATCCGGGCAAAGAGAGCAGTGTGAAAAAGAGTCAGAGCGGCCCGTCCCCCAGTGCTTCCGGTCTGCCACACGGCCCGTCCCCCAGCGCTTCCGGTCTGCCACACGGCCCGTCCCCCAGCGCTTCCGGTTTGCCACACAACGCAGAGGCGTTCTCCTTTCTCTACGTGGTCCCTGAAACCCGAAGGGAATTCATTCTTCTTAGAGATGCGAGGCCTGCTTGGAGAACCGAAGATCTGAGTTCTCCATGAAAGATAAACACTGGATTCCAAAGCCAGAACTGCTTCTAGGTAAAAACATTTAGGGGCGGGTGGGGTGGGGCAGGGGGGATGGAGGGAGAGGTGAGCAGTCAAGAGCACTGGCTGCTCTTGCAGAGGACCTGGGTTCAGTTCCCGGCACCCACGTGGGGCTCACACCGGCTGTCACTCCAGTGCCAGGGGATCTGACGCCACAGTCTGGCCACAGGCACTGCATGCTTTGACACAATGCACGTAGTGAAGTTTCTACTGAGAGTCAGTCCAGAGACACTTGCTGCCGGCATGGCTCCCTGCCAGGGCTGGTGCGGACAGGGCTCTCTCCACTGAGCTACCCGACACTGCGCTCTGCAGTGTGACAGACCTGCTTGAACAAGATGCTGTGACAGACCAAACGGGTTTACCTTGCTCTCTAGTTCTTAAGATACAAAATAAATTTCATCTCCCTCCACTGTTATTTTGAAAAATTTTAAACATACAGGGAAAAAAGTCCTTTACTTCTCCTCAAAGTTCTCTGGTTATAATAGTGCTACCCTATCTCCTTCTCCCGTCCACACACACCTGTGACTTGAGAGCTGGATCCACACAGTCACGGGCATGCGTCTCCTGAGAGCAAAGACATATCCAGATTTTTCACTATTATTAGGAAATACAATCGTGGTGTCTAAGTAGTACCTGACACACAATTCAAAGTGGAGGTCCCTGTTTGCCTGGCCACGTGGCTTCTAACCCACCTGCAGTCACACCGTACCCCATCATCGCCTCCCGTTAAAGTCAGACCCTACGGCTTTGTTTCTGTTAGTTTTCTCTTTCGTGACTCAATTCTTCCCCCAATTCAGAACATCAAAGCATTTCCATGAAGTCTGAAGAGGTCTGTTTACAGAATCTGATGGCAGATTCTGTATGTGTATGCATCTGGAGAGAACCAAGAACACCCGAGATGTTCTGGAAGAACAGCGACGTGGGAAGCATTGCCATTAACAATGTATAAGACAGCCTGCAAAGCCACAGGGCCCTGCCAGCGGACACTGTGCAAACAGGTCAGTGGGCAGAAACGAGAGGGAGGTAGAGTTAGACTCACTCTGGGTTATAACAGGTGGTTCAGGCAATAGGAAATGTGAACCTATCCTCAGGGAAATGAGATCCAGCTTTCCCTCATATATACATGAAAATCAGTGTCAATACATTATAAGGAAAATAAATGTAAAATTATGAGCATTTTAGAAAATAACCAGGATACACATCTTTAAAGAGGAGAACTGGGGCTGGACAGACGACTTAGCAGGTAGACTGCTTGCCATGAAATCATCGGGACCTGAGTTTGGATTCCTGCACCCACATCAAAATGGGGGCGGGGACAGAAACAGGGATCTTTAGGCTCGTTGGCCAGCCAGTCTACTCAGTCAGTGAGCCCCAGGTTAGTGAGAGACCCTGTCTCAAAATAAATAAGGAATGACGGAGGGCACCCGACCCCAACCTCCGGCCTCCAGAGGCGCGTGTACAGCACTCACTCGCATGCGCGCACACACCCCACATACAAGAGAGGTGCAGAGGAGAAGCTAACCAACCCTGCAGATAGTGCCTGAGTTAGGGACGCCCATTCGCGAGACCATGTCCCCAAACTTTCTTACGCTGAGGTCCTCACTCCAAGTCCTCGGAACGTGACCACACTTGGTGACAGAGGTTTTTAAAAAGATGTAACGAGGTCACACAGGTCTGCCCTAACCCAATATAGCCGATGCTCTTCTTAAAAGGTGAGGACACAGACCTACTCAGGAGGAAGGCCATGTGTGGACACCAGAGGAAGGTGGCATCGACCAGGCACAGACAGATGACTCCACAGCCTTGATTCTGAGGATCACAGCCGTCTCCTCACTTGCTCAGGAGACCGGACAGCATGAATTCTGGGGACACCCAGCCGGGTCACGACGCCCCAGTGGCCTTGCTGGAGAGCACCTGAACCCTGAACCGTGCGCTACTGCTGACAGGGCCCTCAGCTCCCTTCCTTGGCAGGCAGGCGCCTTGGAAGGAAATCCTGTCTTCTCCTGGGTCCGCAGACACCCGTGACTAGAACAGGACGAGAAGGCTGGCATCTCTGCCTTCATCCTGTGGCTCTCCTCCTGACTGTCCTATCTCTGAGCAGATCCCACCTGCCCTGCACATAGACAGGTTGGTCCAGAACTATAATTCAGGGTTAATCTGACCAAGATGTACCTAGTCTCTCATCCCCTTCAAGGTAAAGTCATCTACTGGCCACGCTGACCAGAAACACCGGCCCGTCAAAGGACTGAGGAAAGGTGGCCCTGTGCTCCCAGAGACCTCTGTCCGCCTGGGCCCAGAGGAGCGGGGGTGTGCCTTTCTCCTTCCTCACTCCTTCCCTGCATCCAGAGGCATCTCTCTGTCACAGAGAAGCTGGCTGTCCACAAAGCTTCCTTTTTTCCTTTCTTCCACTGCTAAAAACACGTTTCTGTATCATCACAAGCACTCACATCTGGGAGAGATCCCCACATGCACCACACCTGGCTTCCAGGACACCTTCATCTTGGACTTTGTGACTTACACAGCTGTGACAAGTGGATTTCTGTTGATAACTGCAAGTGGGCTTGGGTGCTTACCCCTAAAAACCAAACACAGCAGAACACCACAGGCACCAAGAAGAAACTACATCTACCTGTAGGTGGTAACACAGAGTCTCTAAAACACACTGGGCAAAAGCAGCAAGACAAATAGACACCGTTTGGTGACTGAATTTATGTAAAATTGCAAAAGAAATAAAGCTGTTTGGAAATATATTAAGTGATACAATTACGAGGAAAATAATAAATCACTTCTATAACAGGGCGGCAGCGGTTAGCAGTGGTCTGGAAGGGCGTGTGCCGGCGGGGACACCGTGGGGCTGCTCAGTTCTCAGGACGTCCTGTTTCTTTCCTAGAAGCAGCGACAAGAGGGTGGGACTTGCCGATTACCGAATAAACATAGAATGCTAACAAACGATCCTGCCCTCAGCTGTTGTTCACGCACACACAGCCTTGGGGGACCGAACAGCAAGGCTGGTTACCATGGGAAGACAGCAGGCAGGCATTTTTGGAAGTTTTCCAGAAGAAAAAAAAAGAGAGGGCACAACTTGGAAACCTTCACCTCCAGATACAGTGTTCTGGAGATGAAAATGAGCTGGAGCTTTGGGACAAGCGTGTTCCAGTCACCGGTGCAGAGCTGCGACGTGGTGTGGCAGTGCAGGCGGCTGAGTCTCTCCATGAAGTCCCTTCAGCTACGGCTGCAGGTAAGATGGCTTCATAGCGCAACCAGAAATTCCGCAGCGCGGTATGAAAAAGGAGCCGTTGGACATCCTACGATTATCAGTGGCAGGACAGAGAGCCGCAGCCAGGAGAGCCGGCATGAGGCCGAGCCTGGGAGCTGCAGTTCTACCATTAATTACGTTCCACAGCCCGGAGGCCAAGTCCCAAGAGTGATCAAGTAATGTGTTAGAGAATACACTTCCAAAGTTCATGGGCCAGGCTTCCCTTTCCAGCCACAGAGACTAACCGATGCCAGCCCAGCCCTCCTCTGGTAAACATCTCTAAACGTCGATGAAAACACGAGACCAGGTATTTTCATGTGGGGGGTTACCCGCCTGTATGGCTGTGCACCCCGTGGATGCCAGAGATGGCACTGGATCCCCTGGGACTCACGTCACAAATGTTGGTGTGGGGCCTCTCCAAAAGCAGCCAGTGCTCTTAGCCACTGGCCCTCTTTGCAGCTCCAATAATTTTTTTTTTTTTTTTTTTTTTTTTTTTTTTTTTGGTTTTTCGAGACAGGGTTTCTCTGTGTAGCTTTGTGCCTTTCCTGGAACTCACTTGGTAGCCCAGGCTGGCCTCGAACTCACAGAGATCCGCCTGCCTCTGCCTCCCGAGTGCTGGGATTAAAGGCGTGCGCCACCACCGCCCGGCTCAGCTCCAAGAATTTTAAGATGGGTTTTTCTGAGTTTTGCCTCTGAGTGCCTGCAGGAACATCCTTTATAGGAAACCAATACCCAACTCCCTACATTATAGAGTGTATGATATAACTCACTGACATACTAATAAACAGAAAATGCACATAAATCAAGAAAAAGAAAAACCAGACAACAGAAACAGGTGGTCTAAAGGTCAGAAGGGGCTAACATAAAGTGAGAGGTGGCAAGCTATTTCGAGAGAACATTAAAGTTCTGAGGTTTAAAAGAATGCTTTATTCCCACAGTTTCTGTGAATCAGAATCTGGAAGCAGCTTATCTGGAAAGGTTTGGCTTGGGGTTTGTGCTGACAACTTCATTTGTTCAACTTGGCCGGGGCACAGTGCCCGACTCTTGTGTCAAACTTTATTCTGGAGCTCAGTATTTAAATTAGCAGACTTTGAGGATGGCAGACCACTGCCCCACAATGTGGCTGGCCTCACCTGATCAGCTGAGGGTCTATATAGCTTAAAACATCGGCCTCTCCCAGGAAAAAGGAACCTGGAGGCAGGCAGCTTTCTAGCTCAAGTGTCTGTGACATCAGCTCTTCCTGGGTCTCTAATGTGACAGCTCAGCCTGCACACTGTGGACTTGCCAGGCTCCGTGATCACATGAGCCATACCCTAAAATGATTCCATCCATCGGTATCTCTTTCTCTTCCTGTCTCCTCTTCTCTCTCTTCCACGCCCCCAACACACAGTACCCCAATACACTCTCTGGGTTCTTTTTCTTTGTATAACCCTAAGAGAAGACGACCTAGCTGCTTTCTGTTGCTGTGATAAACATCCTGACCAAAAGTGATGTCTCAGAAGAATGGGTTTATCTGGCTCACATTTGCAGGTCACAGTCATCACTGAGCAAAGTCAGAGCAGGAAGTCAAGCAGGAAGCTGAAGGCAGGACTGCTCATTACTCCATGAAGCATTATCTCTGACCAGCAACTCACAGCCCGGAAAGTTCAGCAGAAACATGTTGGCTCCCAGGCTCACCCTTAGCTAGCTCTCCTATACAGTCCTGGTCCAACTGCATAGGGATGGTGCCACCCACAGTAGACTAGGCCCTACATCCACTAATAATCAAGACGATTCCCCATGGACATGCTCACGGGCCAGTCTGCTGTTAAGAAGACACCCTTCTCAGGTGACTCTAGGCTGTGTCAAGTTGACAGCTAGAGCTCACGGGGACAGAGCTGGCAAGTGATGGCTGTTCCCATGTGGGCTTCGCCAGGGCTGCCTGAGTGACCTCATGTCATGGCCAACGCCCTCATGGGGGGAAGTCATGAAGCGAGGTTTAGAATTCCTTAGCAGCACTTCTGCCACACTCTATTCCTAGACACAGACCACCCAACCAATGCGGGAAAGAATTGCAAGAATTAAAGGCCAAGAGAGACAAAAGGGAATGAGTCAGCAATGAAGAACCCCAGCAAAAGAACAGAAACTATTTCAACTGGAAATGAAAGATGTGCAAAATAAACCCAAAATGGAAATCCACACGACAGATTTTAAGTAGAAAAGAGATGGCAGAGGAAAGGGTCCGTGAACAAAGACAGAGGGGGCTATCAGGAAAAGCGGTCAGAAGGAACAAGAGTGGCCCAGTGACGGTCACCGGAGGACCGCCATGTCCAACACACATGCAGAATAACAAAGAGGAACCCACGTACGGCCACTACTGAAACACAAAGGCACCAAATTAACAACAGTCGTTGCTACAGCAAAACCTGTGCCACCACGTCACGACTCGGCACTGATGCAGCAGAGGCTAGACCATCTGCCACACGACCACCCAACCACCCATGCTCACAGCGCCTCATTCACGATGGCCAAAAGCCAAAGACAGATTGTTGCAGGAACCTTAAAAGTTCTTATTAATAAAATCAAACCCGAGGCGAGTTATTGGGGTCCATGCTGGTAGATCAGAGAGACAGAACAAACCACAGCTATCTCACCTTGCCAATTCCTCAGCTGGTCCTGTTTCCTCCGACTGGAAGCTTCTGTGTCCTCATCCCAATGAATTTCAGCTGAACTGCTGCTCAAAAGCCTGAAGCTTAACCAGCCACATGCTTAACCAGCCAAATGCCTAACCAGCCAAATGCCTCTAGTTTCTGGTCCTCACGCCTTATATATCTTTCTACTTTCTACCACCACTCCCTGGGATTAAAGGCTGGCTTTCTGGGATTAAAGG